GAAGGAACGACTTCGATTAGGGTTGGGGGAATGAAAGTAAGGGTTTCTGTTGAACAAGGGTAGGCGGTGGGAATCGTGGGATTATTTTTGGTTTTCGCATAGTGATAAAGAAGAGGTAGAACACTGATTATAATCCAAATCAATGAATCATGCTACAAAACGATGCCGCTTTTTCGGAGCCAAGTGGTCGCTGAACTGTATCTTCTTTTTCTCTTCTTTTTTAAGTTTCCAATTATATTTAATTTGATATTAGGCGACCAGAATAAATGGTCCTTGAACTTTTATTCATTTGCGTCCATGTAGTATGGTCGCCAAATACGAAATCATGGCCGCCAATTTTTTTTTGGTCTTCCCGCTTTTCTAAAGTAAACCCGCCAACTTTTCACTTTTCAATATTTGAAGATCCACGACCATTTTAAAATTATGGTCGTTGATGGTTACATAGTTCGTGACCACTTATATAAATGGTCGTTGAGAATGGTCGCCGAAAAGCTTCTTTCTTGTAGTGGAAGAATACAAAAATTTGCGAGATAATAGATAATTTTATTGTAAATAAAATTAGAAAGATAATACAATTCAATAATAATGATATAATCATTTTAATTTTGCTATACTTAAAAGTCAATTTGAACCACATCTTTGTTTTAGAGCAGGACCACCATTATTCATTGAACAGTCCTGATAATTATAATTATATATAATCACCATAACTAAACAATAATGAGAAAATATAGTATTGGTAAAAAGAATTTTCAAAATTCAAAAATTGTCGTCCTACATCCCCCGGCCGGGCACTCGCCAATCGCCATTATGATTCTGGCTCCAATATTCCCCCTCCTGGATATTGAAATTTGGCCATCCTGCATATTTCCCCGCGCACGCCATTTTGTATCTTCCTGCAAATTCAATTGGCCCCAATATTCCTCCCTCCAAAATATTGAAATCTTAAAATTTTGGCTCCAATTTTTTTTTTGTCTCCCGCAGCTTATTTTTGCTGAACTCCATGACCATTTCACAAATAGCCACCAAATAATTTGTGATATTAATTGTAACTCATGGTAAAGCCATAAACAAATACATATCGGGTGGTTTGCTTCAAGGTTTTGTTGATGGATTTGGTGATGGACTTGCATTTATAATGGACTTTTACAAAAGTCTATTGTTTGCTTGATGGAATTAGAGGGAGTAAATCCGTGGGGCCCCCGCTGTCTCTCTCGGACGACGACCTCGTCTCCCTAGTCGGCGGCAGGGAGGAGAACTCCTAAGGTTCTACTCCGTGGTGGGGCGGCTGTTGAGGAATCCCGGCGGGTTCATGGTCGTGTGGTGCTACAACCACACCGTCGACTCTGCTCGGAGTTCGAAATTAGGTCTGGGTAGGAGGAATTAGGATTATGGATTGGACAAAAAAATCCAGCCCGAGTGGGGTTTTTTTTTTTTTTTTTTTTTTGCCATAGAAGCCCCCATGGTTTAAGATTAGGGGATTATAGGAAATTAGTGTTTATTTATTTTATATTAGTGGTGAAAATGAGAAGAATATTTAAGTGATTAAATTTTATTATTTTTTATTTGCCATGTCACATATTTAACGGTCAACTATGAGAGTTGACTGCCACATCAGACAAAGTTAACGGAGTTGGACGGAGAGTGACCAAATTTGAACTGTTAAACTAATTTTAGTAACCAATAATGGAATTAAATATTTTCAGTGACCAAACGTGAACCTTTTTAGTAAACTCAATGACCAAACTTGCAATTTACCCATGGCATTTTACTAGTTTATCCATACTTATTTTACCTAATGACTAATCTACCCTTCCTTCTTCCTCGGTGGCGGCCTCCAATTCTCCGTCCTCAGTTTTTCATATAGAGCAATGAATGATAAAGGGACTCTCATGTTTGTTTCTTTTTGTCTCTTTCTTTTTTTGGGATTGTTTAACATTAATTTCTCGCATAAATTGTGAATTTCGGGATGAAATTTTGGATTAAGCGTGGTGCTCGAGTTTGACCAAAAAATCGGGACATTTTCAATTGTGGTTGAATTTCACATCTTCATCTGGTGAGTCTTCTATTTACTCCTCTATTGATATTTCTAATGCTCATCTTGTGCATTATTTCTGGATCGACAGTTGGATCCAAAAATTAGAGAGTTGTGTCATGTCCAAACTATTATGCATTTCTATATTTGTAATTGAGCAAGTTCACAAAGTAGAAGTTCAGTATGCATTAGATTTGTTTTTAATGGAAATATAATTACATAAGGGTAACAAGGTAATTTGTGTTTCATATTCACAAATCTAATCAAATAAAATCCATTATCAAATCCAACAAGCAAACAATAGACTTGTTCAAATCCATGATGCCACCAAATCCATCATATATTCATGGTTTTTCAAAACCCAGGTTTTACCAAAACCCTCATATTTTAAATCCATGAAGCAAACAACCCGTAAATGTCAGAAAAGAAGGCGAAATGAGTAAGGTTGTTGCTTCAGAATAAAAAATTAACAAGACTTAACAATATATAATAAGGACAACATAGGAATAATAAAAAGAGATTGAGGCTAGTTTTGTCATTTACTCCCTACTACATAATCCCACTTAAATGGGCAAGATTTTATAATCCGTGGACCCCACGGATTTTGGTCCCAAAATAATCCAACATGCATGGGGGTGGACAACGGGACGGGACGGGATACCCGTCCCGTTTGAAACGGGTACCCAATTCCATTTGAAGAGCAATCTCCATCCCATATCCCAAACCCGCACCGGTTAACGGGTACCCGTTACCCATACGAGACGGATAACGAGTACCCATACTACCCATAAATACCCGTCCAAAATTCCATCAAATCTTTTCTTTGCATTTGTCAGTCCCATTCCTAGAAACAACAAAACCATTTCTTTTGCACACAGACTAAAACAGCAACACAAAAAAAACTAAGGACAGATCAGAAACAAGAATTAATTTGATGGTGAAGGTGAATGCTGCCGCCACCAACTTTCATACACGGAGTTTGGGAGATAGAGAAAGTGAGGCCTGTACATAACAAGCTGAGAAAGTAGACAATAGAAGTGCAAATAGAGAAGAGAGAATCTTGGAGTTGGTTAACTCCTAATAGTTCTTGTTCATTTTTTTCTGCTGTTTCTTTTTAGCTGGTGCGTTCCTTTTTGCAATTTGGTTCGATTCTGTTGAGCCTTGGCTGCTGCTTTCTTTTTCTGTGATTAACTCTTTTTCGTTATCGTAATATATATATATATATATTTTCACCATTATAAAAATAAAAAAATTGTAATAATTTTGGAATAATGGGTATAACGGGTACCCGTAATACCCAAACGGGTATTAACGGGTAACCCGCGGGTACCCAAAGTAGTCATTCTTGATCCCAAATCCCATCCCGTAAAAAAAATTATGGGTATTTGGGTACCCGTAATCCTAAAAAAAGGGACGGGTATACCCAAATACCCGTTTCCCGTTGCCCACCCCTATGCATGGGTCCCACAGCTTATAATCCAACATCATTTTAGTGCCAAACATGGACTTTAAGCATAATCCCATAAGTGTGGGATTTTGGACAAAAATCCTTTATCAAAATCTCAACAGCAAACGGCGTCGTTTGGATGGAGTATTGGTATGAGTTATTTGAGTTCAAATAACTCACAATGAGTTATTTGGACACAAATAACTCGTTTGACAGCTTTTTTTCTTGAAATGAGTTATTTGGACAGTGAGTTTTTTACAAATAACTCATACCCATATGTTATTTCGAAATAACTCATTTTACCATTCTGCTTTTATCAAAATACAACATGTCAAATACCACATTTGCATGGTTCAACAAAACGTGATACTTTATTTCAATTACCACTGAAATACCACATGAACCAGGGGCGGAACCAAGTGTAGGAGTGGGGTGTCCCGGGACACCCCTAAATTTTGGGGTAAAAATTAATCAACCCCTGATAGTAGTTTGAGTATGAAAGAAAAAAGAAAAAAAAAAGATAATAGTACTGTATGTGATTCTAATCTATAACATAGTAGTTATTACTGAACATCTTTTCTATTTGAGTACACTTCGTTTGTTGTTTTGATTTTTTCATATATTCTCAAAAATTTTAAAGTCCAAAAATAAACCCACGAACTATCCCTTGACCCTATCATTTTCAATGATCTATTTGCTCCTCAAAGTTGTGTTGATTTTAGCAATGGCAACTCCAAATATTGAGACTTGAGAGAGCTTTTTCAGCTTTGAGTTACATGAAGAACAAGTTTCGGAATCGAATAGACGATCAACTCATGAATGATTGTCTAGTAAGATATATTGAAATAGATTTGTTGAGCATAGTAGACAATGAGTAACACGTTGTTGACTTTTATTGTAACTTGTATTAGTCGGATAGTTTCTTTTTTTAATATTTTTTTAATTTTTAATTCACTTTTTTAGCTGGACACCCTTCTATAAAATTTCTGGGTCCACCACTAACATGACAATAAATGAGTTATTTGATTCTACAAATACCAGATTGACAATTAACTCATCCTTCCGGTCATTGTACCTTAGTTCTTTTTCCCCATAGCAAGTAATATCAGAAAATGAAATTATTACCAAAGTTTGTTTTAACTTTCAGACATGATTTAAAAATGGAACTTTTTCCTGATATATTTTTTTTTCTTAATAATAAGCAATAGCTTTAATCTGAAATAATCCTTTCAATGACCAGCTAAGGCAAACAAACTAGTATATTGGGAATAACAATTACTCACATGCTTAGACTTATATTTAGCATTCCAAGTAATACAAACTCCAAACTAATTATGAAAATGCTGAGGAAATTCCTCTTACCAAAACCAAAAAAGAAAAAATGAGGACTTTTACCGTGGGGGAGACTGCAGCCAGTGTGACGAGGTAGCACCAATAAAAACCTCCCACGTGTAAATTTCAACAAGACGTACACGCTGTTAAGGAAACAATATCCAATCCAAGCAAAGGCGCCCTGCCATGTTGGTCTCGTTCTCTTCCTACTCGTCTCTCTCTCTCTCTCTCTCTCCTCCCAAGTCTCCCCTTCCCTTCCTCGCCTGCTTTAAAACCCCTTTCATATTTAACATTTCATCACACCACACTGTTCAGTCACTCCACAAATCCCCTCCCTCTACCCGCCTGTGGAAAAAAATGGCGTCAAGGGTTTCACTTCTCTTCTTCGCCTGCGCTCTCGTCCTGATCGCCGCTGTTTCGTCGGCTGAAGAGGCCCTGTCCAAGGAGTTCGTCCTCACACTTGACCACACCAATTTCACTGACGCAGTCACCAAGCACGATTTCATCGTCGTCGAGTTCTACGCTCCATGGTACGAAAAATCATTTCGAAAATTCTGCTCCTGTTAACTGATTCAGTGTTCGCTCTTTTGATTTTCTTTTGCTTCGCCATGCTAATCTGGGTAAATTCTGCCCTGGAATGTGTGGATCTCGCTGCTATGACGTTTCTGATTCGCGATTGAGCTTTTGTGTATGATTGGGCTTACTACTGTCTTTTGTTTTTAATCTTCGTTTGTGAATCGAGCAGTGTCCTTTATCTTGAAAGATACTCTGTTCTTGTTTGGCTTGATCAGTCAATAGAATCGCATAGTGTTTGCGATTTGTAGTTTTAAGTCCCGTTTATTTTTTTCGCTGTCCCTGAATTGGAATTTAGCTGGCGCGGGTTTCTTTGATTGCATGCAGCGGTTGAAATATTAGTGTGATACCTTTCAGTCATTTTGATTGCCAAATGCGCTTCTAAACGCTCTCATGGGATATGAAGATGTGTTTTTGCTTTGGCTTTTTTCCTTTGTGCAAAATTCTTGTCAATGGCGGTTGGTTGAATCATGGCCTGATATCGTGCGTGCATACAAATATACCAGATGCGCTATTGCTTTGCCTTTTAATCGGATTTCAGTTTGTTCTTGCCTTAATAATAATTCGATGATAATTTTGAATTCAGCAAAGAAAAGGTTCCATAATTTGACCGTTTCTTGGCCTGTTACAGGTGTGGGCACTGTAAGAATCTAGCTCCGGAGGTAATTAAAACCTTGTATTTCGTTGGTTGAGACAGTCTGGATTCACTCTAGAGAATGTGTGCAAATGCTATAAACATGGATGACTGATGGGACCGAATAATTTTACTTGCAGTATGAGAAGGCCGCGGCGGCATTGAGCAGTCATGATCCCCCGATCGCGCTGGCGAAGGTAGATGCCAACGAGGAGGCTAACAAGGAGCTTGCCACACAGTATGAGATTCAGGGTTTTCCAACTCTGAAAATTTTGAGAAATGGAGGGAAGTCAATTCAGGAATATAAGGGTCCTCGTGAAGCTGATGGTATTATTGAGTATTTGAAGAAACAGAGTGGTCCTGCTTCAGCTGAGATTAAATCAGCAGAGGATGCCAGTACTCTTATTGATGAAACGAAGATATTTATCGTAAGTTCTGGGCTTTCTTTTCACTGTTTTGTTTTGGTTAAGTAAGGCTATGGGAAGGGAAGTGATTTTATGTTCTTTTGTTTTTCTCAGGTCGGGGTGTTCCCGAAGTTTTCTGGTCAGGAGTTTGAAAACTACATGGCTTTGGCAGAGAAGTTGCGGTCAGACTATGAATTTGGTCACACCACAAGTGTCAAATTCCTTCCTCGCGGTGAATCGTCAGTGACTGGACCGTTGGTTAGGTTGTTCAAGCCATTTGATGAACTCTTTGTTGATTCTAAGGTACTTGTCAATCTTTATGTGGCATGGAATCTATTTATAGTTGTTGCTAGTTCTTATTGGAAAAGCGGCACTTGGATGGTAGGAAGTTTATAGCTGGCCTGACATTTTTTTGTCATAAGATGGAAGAGTATCTTCGATTCCTTGGTAGAAATGGATATCTGAATTCTACATTTGATCTATTAACAGTGTGGACAAGGAACATGCCTTATTAGGGTGATCGTTTGCATGGATTCATACTTGATGCTTAATTTTTGCTTGCAGGATTTTGATTTGGAAGTTCTGGAGAAGTTTGTTGAGGAGTCTAGCATACCCACAGTGACTGTTTTCAATAACGACCCAACCTATCACCCATATGTTATCAAGTACTTTAACAGTCCCGAAACCAAGGTATGGGATGTAGAAATCATTTTGATGTTGGCTTTATTTGCAAGATTTTCCTTGAACAATGCACTGTTACATCCTTTCATCTACTGATAACCCCTATATATTTTTGGCAGGCTATGTTGTTTGTGAACTTCACAAATGAGGTTGCTGAATCTTTCAAGTCCACGTACAGAGAAGTTGCTGAGCAATACAAGGGACAAGGTCTTATCTTTTTGATTGGAGATGTCGATTCCAGCCAAGGTGCCTTCCAGGTTCGTTACACTGTGTTGACTAGTTCATTCTTCTTTGACTTGTATTATGTTCCCTGAACACTTTAAGAACTACTGTGATACTGTTTCTGAACAGTTCTTTGGACTTAAAGAAGAACAAGCGCCCCTTCTTCTTGTACAAACGAACGACGGACAGAAGTACCTGAAGCCGACTTTGGGTGCTGATGATATTGCTCCTTGGCTCAAGGAGTACAAGGTAGCGTGGACTTGTTTCTATTTAAATATGTCAAGGCGAAACTGTCAGGAATTGGTAACCAGTACTTTATCATTTGTATTCCTCATGACCCATGTTCATTATTCATCCTCTGCAGGAAGGCAAAGTCTCACCATATAGGAAATCCGAGCCGATTCCAGAAACTAACAACGAGCCTGTGAAAGTAGTAGTTGCTGATACTCTACAGGAGCTTGTTTTCAACTCTGGGAAAAATGGTAAGTCATAAATCCTGACCAGATTTGCCTACGGAGGAAACTGGATTGTTATGAGGGTAGAGAACTGTAGCTTTTCCCCTTCCCTGTTTTATGACTTCTGAATATTCTGGGATGTCATATTCTTCACAGTTCTGCTGGAGTTCTACGCACCATGGTGCGGACACTGCAAGAAGCTGGCTCCAATTCTGGATGAAGTTGCTCTTTCCTTTGAGAAGGATCCTAGTGTGCTCATTGCAAAACTTGTAAGTAGTCATTTATCTCTTCTAATTTTGGTTAAAATTACATAACGAAAATATAGATTTGTAAAGACATTTTGAATTGTTGTTTTAGGATGCAACTGCAAACGACCTCCCAAGTGATACATTTGATGTGCAAGGATACCCTACTGTGTTCTTCCGATCAGCAAGCGGGAACTTGGTCCAGTACGAAGGAGATAGAACTAAGGAAGACATCATCGAGTTCATCGAAAAGAACAAGGATAAGCCAGCAGTTGCCCAACAACAACAGCAGGAAGAATTATCTAAGGAGGAACCAGCAAAAGATGAGCTCTAAACTAGCTTTTCTCTTGGGGGTTCTTTGTTCATTTCTTCTCTGTATCAGTTTTGGGCAAGCAAAAAACATATCATAGTCGGTAGTTTACCCTTCTTACTTTGCTGTCTTAATAATAAAAAAAATGTTAGCTAGCCTAGCCTCAATAGGTTTGTAGAAACAGAAAATGTGGCCTAACGTGAGTTCTCTGCTCTTTTCCTCACTTCCTGATCAGTTTTGTTTCCCGTGTGGCCATTTCCTTTGCCTAATAGTAATTGGTGATAAATCTGCCCGCTTACACTACACATAGGTCCAAGCATTGGAACTTTTTCTCGGAATATTAGTCACCGCTAGCCAAATTAAGGATTGGAAATTCTTCTATAATACAAAATTATATAGGAACCTCCTCCAATCTAATCGTTAATGATAGTGTACAAAACTCTATCCTACAAAATCTAATCTACCACTACAAACTCTCTCCTTTATTTCAACTCAAAATTTAAAACAAAAAGTATCGAAAGAACACATTCATTAAGATCTAAAAAGTGCTACCCATTTTGTTAAGTTTTGTCAAGCATAAGACCAAAACTTATCAATAACACTCCATGGGTTGCCATCAGAACCTTTATCGTCTTCATCCCTAAACACATGCAATGTGTGAGTATCTCCTCCTCCCTCAAATAGAAAGCAGTGTGCTTCAATTGAATCAGAACATATGAGAACATCAACATTCTTCCTCTCCTTTATCTTCCTCTACTTGGACATCAGTCTAGAGTTAAACTGAATTTGCACTAGTTGATTCATTTGATTTGTTGTAAGCCTATTCCTTTTCTTAGTATAAATATGTAAGGAAAATTGATTATATGAGCTTGCATCTAATATCTACTTTTACTATATAGTATATAGATAAGAATTCAAAACTACTAACCGACTAAAAAACACTCCAGTTTCTCTCACAAGCGGAAGAACTCGAGATCAATGACATTATCCTTATAGCCATCTTTTGTAAATGTGGTATCTCGCCTCCATGCATTCTCCACCAATCCACTAAAAATTGAATGAACACTAAATTAGTGAATGAGACTAAATCATGAAAACAAGGAAATGAGGAAAGAAGTACTAACCATGATTGTAGTCAAAGTTTACACAATTCCTTGCCATCTTCTTCCCAAAGAGTCCTTGTTTCCTTTGAAATTTTGTGAACTCAATCTCACCACCTGATCATCTATATCCTCATCACAATCATGGTAGAATTACTTAACACAAGTGAGCAATGATGTTGTAATGTCGTTATTATCAAATATTGCTGACTCGTCATAGCTGTAATGAGGATTCGGGAGATATGTCGTAAATGCGATGGAGCATCAAGTCTGCCTCTCATATTCTTATCCACAATAGCAATGACTTGTTTATAACGAAGTTCCTCATTCTTAAACACCTCCTTTATCTCTCTCTTTGTCTTCAAAATTTTACCATACACTAAACCCATAGAAGGTTTCACATCCCCACCCACTAAACTATATAGTTTCGCCAATGGCTCAAAGATCTTGAAGCAAACATCCACACCATTTAAAAACCTAACACTATAGTCGTATCATAGGCCTCCTTGCCTTTCTTTGAACTTGTCTCCTTAATGTTTTTCCCACTTTGAATCCACCACCATATTCATCAAATCATCTTTCTTATCCAACAAGCTTTTCAAAGTAAGGATTTGAGAAGAAAATCGAGTCACACCTTGTAATATGATTTCTCTCTTTTTTGTGAAGGATTTCATGCACTAAAAGGTGTGGTGGTGGCCATATATAAAGATGGTGAAAGACTTAGCATGATCAATAATCTTCTTGAACCTTGGTATGTTGCCAATTCCTTGGAGCATCAAATTGATAGTGTGAGTTGCAGAAGAGCTCCAAAATATGTTTGGCCTCTTCTCCAACAAGAGGGCATTTGCTGCCAAATTATTGAAAGCATTGCCTGTCACAACTTGCAACACATTTTCAGCTCCAACTTCCTCGATTGCATTGTCAACTAGCTCAAAGATGACTTCACCTGCGTGAGAAATCAATGATGTGTCCTTAGACTTTATAAAGCTTGTTCCCTTGGCACAATGTGCGACTATGTTCATTATGCTTCTCCTCTTCATGTCTGTCCAAGCATCAGTCATAATAGAGCAGTCATTCTTTTACTTCTCCACCTCACGATCACTTAACAAGCTCTAAGTTCTTGCATACTCAGCTTTCAACAAATTGACCAATGCCCTCAACCAGTTGTAGTTGTTCCATTCAATGTCATTGAGAATGATGAGTTCATCCAAGGTGACCGATTAATCATGGCATAAGACCTCATACCAACATCATATCAGTGCCATATCATGTTACCATAGCGATATGACAATTATATGAAGTCATCAAATGATTTTGTCACTTAATGAACAATGCTCACTTTTAAGAACTTCCTCCAACAATTACTTTTTCATTCTTCCATGTACAAATAACTCATGTGGAATCTCAATCTAACTCGACAATGGTGTAGAATTGAAGAAATTAGGGTTGCTCTATCTAACTCAATCAATATCAAGTAGCAAGTGCTACCTAACATGAGAGTGACCCTTAGACACACAGATCAAAAGGGGTGACTAGGGTATAATGCAATCGGGACAAGTCAATTTTTGGGTCATGGGATAATCCTATGCCTCCATCTTCCTTGCTAGTGACAACGTGAATGCTACACATCATGGTAAGAGGGATTTATCACACAAGAACAAAATTGTCGGAACAAATCTCACATGGCTATCTAGATGCTCAATCATTCATTCTAACATCCAAATTTTGATGCATAACAATTGTGATTAATGAGTAATCAATCAAACATGCATTAGTTTGCAAACACATGAGTACTGAACATTTACACAACCCTAATGCATATCTCAGTCATCATAATAGGTTGTTCTCAATCACAAACAAGTCATCCATACATCAACGTTCACAACAACGAGATTCAAAACAAAATACCAAAAGTACCACTATGATCATGTAAATGTAGAAGTTGCTATGCTTGTAGCGATAAAATTTTAAAATTTGGGCATACAACTAGTCTCCAAACACTCAAAATAAGACCAATCATTCACACACAAGCATTATAGACTACCCCCACACTTATGCTCGACATTGCCCTCAATTGCGTGAAATAAGGAGGTAGAATGATGTTACCAGGTAGGGTGTGAATGTTGGTGGACGGGAGCGGAGGGCGGATGAGATCCGGAAGAGCAAGGCCCCTTCAAAGACACCAAAATCTCTCCAAAGGTTGTATTATTGAATCGAAAAGAAAACAAACCGCTTCTTTAACGTCGTGAGTTGAACGGTTGCTCTTCAAGTTTCAATCGACCCAAAAAAACTCCTTGAAGTTGAGGCCCTCGTTGGTGAGGTGGTGTCTCAAGTCACGAGCATTGGACGAATCCATGATGGAGGGCTTGTGAACTTGGATAGTTTTGAGGCTCCACCCACGAGACCTCGTTTTCTTTCCTTCTTCATTTTTCTCTTTGCCCCACACCATATATTGCATCATGGATTGACTTCCATCGCATCCACCAAGAGGGATCGCCGATGGTTTGGCCTTGGCTTGGAAAAAAGCCGAAATGGGTCCTTCTCGAGTAGCAAGATTGGGTGGAAAGCTTTCGTAGCACTTGTAACTTGTTGAAACTTCATCCACCACGACCTCATCCTCATCTTTGACACCATTTGATTCTTCAAATTCAACCTCAACCTCCCTTTCTTCTTCCTCAATGGGTTCTCGCCTTTTCTTGCTCTTCCTCAAGCACACAACGGAGACAAAGTTTCCAAGAAATTTCTTCAATACTGACACGCCAAAACACAACACCAAACTGCGACCAAGTGTAATCGCAGTCCGGGAATGCAGTAACAGGCAAGTTATATTATCAACCCGGGATCTAGATCTACTGCTTACTCCGTGATTCTCTATTATCTAGCAAACTAATTCGAGTGATTGTTGTTTAAAAGCAAAAGCAGTAAGAAAGCAGTAAACTGTTCGGTTTTCTAAAGCAGGTAAGAGTCACTCGGGATTGAGTCCCCCTAGCCCCTTAGTTAGGTCCAATTGTAATTCCCCTGGGTTGATTTATTGTTGATTAGACTGCGGAAGATCCGACAGTAGCTTGGAATCTCTTAAGCTGACCAAGCCCTCTTAGTATAACTACCCGGCAGACGACTAGTCTTCACCGGGATAGAAAGCTGAAGCAATAAGCACAGAACTCCACTACTGGAATCGAATTCCATTACAAAGCAGTAAACTGGCTAACTCTCGTATAGCCAATCTCCTACTATCGAATGAAGAAGCTCTAACAACCTAATCAGATTCTATCTATCTCAGGTTGCAGCAGAAATTGAGAAAAGCTGATCAGACTCAAATCAATTCAATAAACATGCATCATTCGATTAAAATCAAACAGTAATATCATCCCAAGTCATTACAATCAAATCCCTAACACAAGGAACTAGGGTTCTTCATACCCAAGTGAGAGAAGGGTTCTACTCCATAGAGAGAGAAGAGAAAATAGTAATCGGAGTAGTCATACTCATAATGATGAGGAAAATCTGCTCCGGGATGATGATTTCCACTCCTATGACGATCTCCAAGCTCGATTCGGTGAAACCCAGCTCCAAGATAGCTTCTAGGATGTGTTCTTCGCACTTTCTCTCTCTAGGGCTCTATTTTTGCTCTCAAAATCCGATTCTCCCACTTTTGGCTCGGAATAGGCTCTAAAACTAGAATTTCCCGACTCGCACGGCCAGGCCACACGGCCGTGTGGCTCATCACTTTGCCCGTGCGAGTCGAAACGCGGCGTATGGATTAGTCGACCTTCAGCCATCTCACACGGCCAGGGTTGCACGGCCGTGTGAGAATTCCAGTCTGCTCGTGCTCGGCCTCGGCAAAAATCACACGGCCAGTGTGCTCAATGGCACGGCCGTGTGAAGGTTGTTTGTGCCCGTGCAGCTTCCTTGACACCTCGCCATGCGTCCGATCTTCGTCCAATCGACCCCAGACTCGCTCCCAAGCCTCCATTCACGTACTAGGACCTGAAATATCACAAACAAGCACAACCTAGCGTGAAATCGGCCTAAAACACGAGAATCAACACCTCAAACGGTGTAAGAACGAGGGTAAAAACATGTGTAACTAACGGTCTATCAAATACGATCCTCTTGCATCTCCTCTTTTGTGCAAAATTCTTCAAAGATCGAAGTGGAAGGTAGAAGAACGTGGTCTACCACCAAAGGACTTGATTGCTCAACATCATCTTAGGAGCTCTCCGGGACGAGTTCTTCTTGCTCCCCAAAAATCTCA